CTCGAAGTCGAAATTTTTAATGTCTGGGGAATAGATTTTATTGGACCCTTTCCTACTTCTTTTGGAAACCAATACATCTTAGTAGCAGTAGACTACGTCTCTAAGTGGGTTGAAGCAGTCGCAAGTCCCACCAATGATGCAAAAGTTGTCATGAAGCTGTTTAAATCTGTTATATTCCCGCGTTTTGGAGTTCCTAGAATTGTGATAAGCGACGGAGGATCGCACTTCATCAACAGAGTTTTCGAGAATCTTCTTAGAAAGAATGGAGTCACACATAAAGTTGCTTCTCCATACCATCCCCAAACCAGCGGTCAAGTTGAAATCTCAAATAGAGAAATCAAGTCGATTTTGCAGAAAACAACTGCAGTTCATCGCAAGGATTGGTCTACCAAGCTTGACGACGCATTATGGGCATATCGAACAGCATTCAAGACACCATTAGGAACAACACCATTCAATCTAGTTTATGGAAAAGCATGTCACCTTCCAGTAGAACTCGAGTATAAGGCACAATGGGCTATCAAGGAGATGAACATGAACATGAAAACAGCTGGAGAAAGAAGACTACTTCAACTTCATGAGTTAGAAGAAATCCGACACAATGCCTACGAAAACTCGAAGATCTACGAGGAGAAGACTAAAGAATATCATGATAAGAAGATCATTCATAGAACTTTTGCTCCTAACGATAAGGTACTTCTTTTCAATTCTCGTCTTAAGCTTTTTCCAGGAAAATTACGTTCAAGATGAGCAGGACCCTTCACGATGAAGGAAGTTAAGCCATACGGAGCCATTGTCCTTTGGGACAGAACCGGAAACTCATTGACAGTGAATGGACAGCGTGTAAAGCCATATCTGGCTGAAGAAAGAGAAGTGATGTTTTTGATTGATCCATCATCGGCCAATGATGAGACCAAGGAGTGTCACGACCCGGTTAAGTCTAATCGAGCAACAATGTCAAGCTAACGACTTGAAACAAGCGCTTAGTGGGAGGCAACCCACTTGGTATTTTATCTATTTCTCTTTGACCTTTATTTTCTATTTCCATTGCTTTGTTTCTGTTTCATTTAATTTCAGGTTTTCAATAAGGAAGAATAAATAAAAAAGACGAGCAGCACTCTCCAGCACGATAAGTACTCTTAAACATTTCAACTTTTCTATATTCTTTACCATTCTTTCCGAGATTTATCACACTGAGGGCAGTGTGAAATAAGTCTGGGGGAGGATGTTCATCCGTTACTAATGAAATTTGATTTGTTATGAGTTTGTTTTGGACACATAAAAAAAAAAAAAACAAATTTCAAAATGTTTTTCAAAAATCATTTTCAAAAATTTTTTTCAAAAAGTTTTCAAACCAGGAACACAGTAAACATTACAATGATGATTTAGACCAGTGTGCTTCTACGCTATTTCCTTGTTTTTTGCTCTTTTTGTGATTTAGGCCTAGACTAGACGGTAGCTAAGTACTTGCATTACGAAATCCCACCAGAGGACTTCTATTCATGGAGATTCTTTCTGACAGGATACACTAGCTCATTTTATCTGGACTTAATTTTGACTTAATTCTCTCATTAAAGCGTTAAATCAGGGAAACGAATCATACATTCAGGACTCCTTTATCCTTTTACCACTCTTTGTTGATCCTGAATGGCTAGTTTATCTTTAGCTAGTTCCCCACCGAACTTAACCTCTTTCAAACCACATGCATTCTTGTTTTTCATTGTTCTATATGCAGATATGTGCAAAAACGTCAGAGAAAAAGAGGATCAACGCGGTTTTCAGTCACTGAAGACGGAGACAATTCAGTTTGCCTTGGAAAAACTTCAAAATCTTGGTACAATTTCGTCCCTTACACTCTCTCTTTATAAAAGGTTATTTCCTCTCTAAAAAAAGAAAAAAAAAAAAAATCCGAAAAAGAAAAGAAAAAATATGAAGGGAGAGGAAATTAAAACCTTGGAGAGTCTAGGAGGATCGAATTTTATACTTGAGGCAAGCTTGATCTGATTATATGGAGTTTTGGAGATTATCTTTATGATTACCGGAAAAAAATCTAAGTCTCGGGGAACAGCTGTTTACAACAAAGGAGGAAGATTATGCAGCAACATTTGGCAAAGGAGAAGTGACTGAAAATCTGCGGTCATCAACAGGTCCTTCTCTCTCTTGCGGTTTTGCATAATATCTTGCATCCTCCAGATCTTCAGGTAACCCTAAACACCTAAGCTCCACCACTTAAATAGCCTTTAATGCCAAACGCCGTCTACCCTGAATAATGTCTTTGATGAGAACTCACAATATACTTAATGAATTTAGAGAGCTAGTTGACTGGAAGTTAGAATTAAGTGTGTAGATTTTCGCATGACGGATTAACGAACTAGTTTGCTTGTATTTTGGTGAGAATTTTCTAGACTAGATCCAAATAGATGTTTCACGATAAGTTATGGTTTAGAAGGACGGTCACTGAGATTTTTTTTAGTTCCTGCGATTTTCAAAATTCTTTCTTGACTTAAGTTTGTTTTGAGGACAAACAAAAAGGCAAGTCTGGGGGAGTTGATAACACCGTATTTTGACCACTTTTATGGATCATAATTGTATCTTATGCAGGTGTTTTAACTCTGTTTTCAAAGGTTTTTAAAGTGTTTTCAATGTTTTAGAGATTCAAAAGACTTTACAGGAAACTTGGGCAAAAGATATGCAATTTGGAACAAATGAGCAATTTTGGATAAATGCAGACCGTCAGAAGTATGACAAGCGATGAAGACCTTCTCACCGTCTGATCACCCCCAAAATTTGAGACAACATAGAGGATCCAACCAGCTTTCTAATGCACTTGGTTTGGAGACCATCCAACGGTTAGATCTTCAGTTACTCCCGATGCAAGAATGACAGAAAATGCAGTTCCGGAAGAGAGTATGTGCCGGGACCGCGGCCAACACCCATTTTCACGCGGGTAGAGCCACCGCGACCGCGGAACTTGGTCGTTCACTTTCCCGACGACTTAATTAAAGCCCAGATCAATTCCTTTCGTTATTTTTGAAGCCCTAAGTGTCCATGCCCACCCCAGAAGCTATAAATACCCCCTTTAGGTCATTCTAAAGAGAAGAGACCGAAACTTAGACAACTTAGAGAGAGAGAGAGAGAGGGATTTCGTGAGAAACCCTAGGCCGCCGCCTTTGAAGGAGGAGCCGTCGAGGAGAGCATCATCGCGCCTCCATCTGCGATTCTGTTCTTCGTTCTTCTTCCTTCTTTTCTTTAGTTTCCTGCACTTTCAATTTCGTTTATGATGCTTTGTTACAATATGTTTGAGTAGTTACCCAGTTGGGTTTAAAGGGATTTTTCAAAGGGAATTTCATGTGTCTTTGCTTATGAATCGATAGATTTAGGATTTATAATCTTCTAGATGTTCTTCGTTTGCCTTTAATCTTACTGCGTGATTCTTTGCTGGCCACTTAGAAGCCGATCTGATATGATATGTTGCGAAAGCGCTCATTGATTGTCTGAACTAGGGTGAAACGAGCAATTCTTCTACAGGAGTGGAAACCTACTTGTAGTTGAGTTGTGAATGTTGATGAGTCCTATTCTGCTATCGCATCTTCTCCCTTCCAGAATCAGAGTGGAAACCTACTGATTAGGGTTGCGAGAGATAGTTGTTTAGTGCTGCGAAAGTAGGCTATTCATACTTCTGTGCCTCGAGTTCTAGAACATACGTAGTTGATTACCTTTATCAGTTGTTTAAAATCGACTTAGCTTAGTACATGAATCCCTGCGAAACCCCTTGAGCCCCAACGTTTGTCTTTAATTGTTTACAGCCTTCTAGTTTCAATCGATTTTTACCTTCAATTCTATTTGCTTTTATTCGCTTCAATTCACCTCTTGTTTAAATCGCTTACTACTTGCTTTACTTGCTTTCGTTTCTGTCAATTGCTTTTTAGTTTTTAATCGCTTTCTAGTTTAGATTTAGTGACAACAAAAACCCAAAACCAAAACCAATACCTTTTAGTTTTAATCTGATTTAAGCGTTGCAGTGAATTCGTACTGAAACAACTAAGTCTCTGTGGATCGATACCCTAAGTACTACAGCGCACATCTGTGCACTTGCAGACATTTAGGGGTTATAAATTTAAAACCTGAAGCTTAGTAAAATGAAAAACAACAACCCCGTTTACAAACTCGCATCATAAAGTATCAAGGGTTCTCCTAAAAACGACCTAAATGACAAGTATTTATAGTCTTCAATACTCTATGGTCTCTAGGATTCCGGAATTGAGGTTGAGAATGACTTTGGGCTTCAGAAATATGGGCTTTAGTTCGGAGTTTGACGGCCGCGGTCGGGAGTGACGTGACCGCGGGGAATAGGTGGTTGGTCGCGGTCAGGAGGCTTGTGACCGCGGGAAATGGGCTGTTGGCCGCGGTCGCGTGACTTGCTGGCCGTCTTCGAGTGGCTCCTGGGCTAATGGAATATCTTGAGATCCAACCGTTGGAATGTCTCAAAACCAAGTGCATTTGAAAGCTGGTTGATTCTTCTATAAGTTGTCCAATTTTGAGGGTGATCAGACGGTGAGAAGGTCTTCGTCTCTCCATGAGAGTTCTGACGGTCTGCATTTATCCAAAAGAGTCTTTTTGTTCCAATTTGTGCCTCTATATCCCAAATTACCTGAAAAGTCTTTTAAAATCCGAAAACATAGAAATCCTTTGAAAACCTTTGGAAATAGAGTAAAAACACCTGTAAAAGATATTAAAGTGATCCATAAAAATGGTCAAAATCCGGTGTTATCACACGTGATTTACTACGCAAGTCGAACCTTAGACTCAGCTCAAGAGAAATATGCAACAACTAAAAAGGACATGCTGGTTATTGTGTTGCATTTGATAAGTTCAGAAGTTATCTAGTGGGTTCAAAGGTTGTTGTGTACACAGATCATGTAGCTTTGAGGTATCTATTGACTAAAAAGGATGCTAAGCCGAGACTCTTGAGGTGAGTTCTCTTGTTGCAAGAATTTGACATGGAGGTGCAAGACAAGAAGGGCATTAATAATGGAGATGTTGATCATATCTCATGGTTAAGAGTGGACACAGAAGTACCTCTAGATGATTCTTTACCTGAGAAGCATCTAATGGTGATCAGATCCTACTTGGAGGTTGAACAAGCGAATACAATCAGAGAGAGGAGTCTTCCATGGTTTGCTGATCTAGTTAACTACCTCTCATGCGGTTTGGAACCACCTGAAATGGATTCTTGTCAAAGGAAAAAGTTCTTTAAAGATGTGAGGGGATACCATTGGGATGAGCCATTTTTATATGTGCTCAACAAGGATCATCTTTATAGAAGGTGCTTAGCTGAGGAAGACGTCCAGCCTGTGTTACTAGAGTGTCATGGTTCTGCTTATGGTGGACACTTGAGGACTTTCAAGACAGTAGCTAAGGTCTTGCAATCCGGCTTTTGGTGGCCTACTATTTTTAAAGATGCCCAAGTTGTTGTCTCAAGCTGTGAATCGTGTCAAATACATGGTAATATCTCAAATAGAAACAAGATGCCTCGAATCCGATCTTTGAGGTGGATGTCTTTGATTGTTGGGGAGTAGACTTCATGGGGCCGTTTATCTCTTCACATGGGAACCAATACATTTTGGTGGCGGTTGAATATGTTTCTAAGTGGATAGAGGCGATTGCAAGTCCCGCAAATGCATCAAAGGTGGTGTGTAAGCTGTTCAAAAGCATCATTTTCCCACGGTTTGGAGTTCCATGAGTTGTTATAAGCGATGGGGGGGGAAACCACTTTATTAACAAGACTCTTGAAGGCTTGTTAAAGAAGCATGGTGTGAACAATGCAAGGAAGGACTGGAGCAAGAAACTCGATGATGCTCTTTGGGCATACAGAACCGCTTACAAAACCCCCATAGGTACCTCTCCTTTCAACCTGTTGTATGGGAAGAGCTTTCACTTGCCGGTTGAGTTGGAATACAAAGCCTTGTGGGAAGTCAAGCTATTGAACTTTGACATCAAGACCGCTCAAGAGAAAAGGGTTCTACAGCTTCATGAACTAGAGGAGATCCGCTTATACACTTTTGAGAGCTCCAAGATATACAAAGAGAAGACCAAAGCTCTTCATGACCAAAAGATTCACAAGAGAGAGTTCAAGGAGGGCGATCAAGTGCTCTTGTTCAACTCTAGACTTAAGCTATTCCCTGGAAAGCTAAAGTCTAAGTGGTCCAGACCATTTAGAGTTCTTGAAATGAGACTATGGAGCAGTTGTTCTTGAGGGAAAAGATGGCCAAGGGTTTGTTGTGAACAGCCAAAGAGTTAAGCCCTACCTGGTATCCGAAATGAGAGAGGGAGCTACCTCAGTTCCTCTACTTGAACCCCAAAATGCCTAAGAAGGTATGAAAAGTCAAACTTAGTGACATTAAACAAAGTGCTCTTGGGAGACACCCCAAGCTTATCATTGTACATATTTTTCGTTTAGATCTTTCTTTTTATGTTTATATGGAATGTTTTGAAGGTTTTGTTAAGTGATTTCAGGTCTAAGCAGTGTTCTAGGTAGGTAACTTGAAGGAACATATGCAAGAAGGTGTTTAAAAGCCACAGCGTTGGTTTCAAGAGAGGAGTTCATTTGTCCTTGGTATCAACCCTCGGCATTATCAAGCCGCAGTCATCTTTTACCATGTGAATATTTCAAAACCTCGGCCAAACTCCTCGTCTTAGATACACCGAGGCCGTGTGAGGAAAAGAAGAAAAGTGCCAAAGACTAAGTGTGGGGGAAGGCCCCCGGTGTAGACACATCGGTGTAAATACATCGAGGCCCAATGTCCAAAAGAAAAAGCTGCAAACCTCGCTCTGAGGCCGCGACATGTTTACACCAAGGCCGAGTTGCTTATTCCCCCAAAAAAAAGTGTCTTGCCCAGAAAACGGGTCCCCTCGGTGTGATGCCCTCGTCGTGGAGTAGCATGCCGAGGTACTAGTAAAGGCCATGAAGAAAATGAGACACTTTGGACACTGGAGTCAATAGAGAAGGTTCAACATCAATGGAAAGGGCTTGAGGGTCAAGTTAAATTTATGTGTTAGCATGAGCTCTAAGCGTTCGGTCTGGTGCCCTCGGGGTGGAACACACCGAGGCTGCGTGTGTCTAACCCAGAAAAATGAGAAAAGGTTGTATGGCCCTCGCCTTATCCACACCGCGGTCCTTTGAAGCCTTTGCGCGGCAAAACGAGTTTAAAAGCTCGGTCAACAATTTTTGGGTGCGGTCAACGACTGGAGTCTTTGAGGAAGGGGGTACCAGTGCAACAACAGTCCAAAAACCAACTGGAAAAGAGACTCCAGCCCACACCTGCCTCCATACCGAAAGAAGGGTACCTGAGCAAGATAGTTATGGTTCCATCGGTTGGTTGGATGGTGACTAAGATCTTGGAGCAAGATAGTTATGGTTCCATTGATGAAGGGTACCAGAGCAAGAGCGGTTTCTTCAAGGGCAAGGTTGGACATCGATGGGATTATAACTTTAAGCTGCTGCAAGTCCTCTTGCCCAACAGAGCCATCACAACACTTCAAGAGAGATGCAACGTCTCATTCATTTTGCTAAAGGACCAGCTCTATAATGAGGCAAGAGACCCCCCACTGCGGGGAGGGATGAAAGAAGAAAAGGCCGAGTCAGGCAAGCCTCAGAACGAAGCTCGAGCTGATGGTTATGAAAGTGAGGAACCCCGAGTACTTGAAAGAAGAATGGGAGCAGGCAGATACCATTTTGATCCTTATGTGTGGGGTGAGCCTGAGTATCACACAAGAAAGCTATACTCAAGGGTCAATGGTCTTCAGAAGTGGTGCAAATGGCAGGACAAGACGATTCATAAGCTTGTCGCGTGCGTGAGGCATTTAAGAAGAAGGTGAAGAAGCTCACAGCACCTGCCTCACCAGATAAATACTCAGCCACCTCTCCAGCTCCAGTTTCTAGAGAAGATATTGGTGAGAGCTCCACAACGCGTGACCCTGAGTATCCATCGGGAAAAGAATACTGGATCAATCCGGCCACCGCGTTTCTACCGGATTCACCTAAGAGCAGTCCACCGATGGAACCATAACTATTTTGCTCCACCTCCAATCCCTTGTATTACAAGGGATCCGACCTCATTGATTAAAGTAACCTCTCCAAACCTTTGTACATATGCATCTTCCTCATATCATTTCATTTTACATCTTTCTTGTTTTTGCTTTTTGCTTCTCTCTTACACTTCTATAACACAAGGGACTGAGTTATTTAAGTGTTGGGGAGGAGTCTTGTGTCTACTGATCATGTTTTCTCTGTTCTTTTTTTTTTCTTTTGCATTTTGAGCCTCATATAGTTTAGACTAAGTGCATATAAAAACCATAAAAATCGAAAATTCAGAAAAATTTCAAAAAAAAAAATATTCATTCTAGTTGCATTTCACATTTTTAGGATCGAGTCTAGCTGCATCATATAGGTTGCATCAATGCATGGGAGTAATGATAGATTTTTTCCTTGAGAGATCATCACTTTGAGAATTTGGATGTCCATGTTTGTTGATTCTTTTGTGCTTGCGAGACCTGAAGAGATCTGAATCTGTAAAGCAAGTTTGAATTTGAACTCAGTTCTAATAAATGAAAACCATTGAACCTGACTTGTAATTATCTTGTGATGCATTGTTTGAGTGAGCACTGTGGATAAGCGTATATATATTTGAGCTTGAACCCGGTTTTACCACTCTTTTCCTTAGCTCAAGTAGCTGAATCCGCATTTGGATCAGTTTTCCACACCCTGAACCCATCCTTCTTTCAAGCCTAAAGCATTTCGTGTATATATTGTGAGGCCACCTTGGATCAAAGCTTAGCAGAAAGTGTTAGGTTTAGAGCAACAAGGGCAAGTCTCACGAGTGTCTAGTTCCAATATCAAGGAACTCTTAGGTCTAGGCTGTGAATAAGTGTGGGGGAGATGTGTCTTTGAGCGAGAGTTTTGAGAGAAAAGATCTTTGAGAGAGAAAAGAGAAAGAATGTAAAAATGAGAGTGATGAAAGGTGAGGGTTTGAAAAGAAAAGAAATCGGTCTTGTGTCTTGTGTTTTAAAAAAGAAAGAGAGCTCTAAGTGTCTAAAAGAAGGTATATAACCTCTAAAAGAAAAGAAAAGAAAAGAAGCCTAAACGGCTCAAGTGTCTAAAAAAGAAAATGAGAGGTTAGATAGCCCAAGTTCTTAAAAAGAGCCGTGTGTGAAAAGAATATCCCAAGCCGAAAGTCTTAAAGAAAAGAAAACCGTTTTTGAGAGATGAAAGTGAATGAGAAGAGAGAGTTGTAAGGTTCATTATGAGAAAGCAAGCTAGAGGTGTATTTAGGTAAAAGGGGAGTGAGTTGAGTCTTGCTCTTCTATGCATCTATTTCTCTTTACCTTTAGCATTCTGCCAAAGCTTTGATCGTTCATTTAGAGATCCTTGATTGCTTTGAACTCTCATAGGTAATTTAGACACCAAAACCATTTTACTTGATTCGCTTGACTTAAGATTCACAGCATCATAAAATAGTGTCTAAACCACAAGCATGGATTGACACCTCTTCATTACTACAATGAAAGGGGATTGATAACCCTTCAAAGGCTTAAAAACCTAGTTATACTTTGACCCAAGACCGTTGACCCAAGTTTTCAAAATCTCTTGTTCCCGCGTGAAGAGCTTGGAGACCTCGATGTAGAATTGGCAAGGTGATGTGATTGTAAACGGGTATTGGTTCGTTCTACTAAGCTTCAGGTTTTAAATTTATAACCCCTAAATGTCTGCAAGTGCACAGATGTGCGCTGTAGTACTTAGGGTATCGATCCATAGAGACTTAGTTGTTTCAGTACGAATTCATGGCAATGCTTAAATCAGATTAGAACTAAACAATTTGGGTTTTTGTTTTGGGTTTTGGTTGTCACTAAATCTAAACTAGAAAGCAAAGCAAAAAAAATCAATTGAAAACGAAAGCAAATAAAACAAGCAAAAAGCGATTGAACAAAGGCGAATGGAAGCAGGTAAAAATTGATTGAAAAGCAAGGCTGTAAACAATGGAAAACAAACGTTGGGCATCAAGGGGAATTCGCAGGGGTTCATGGACTAAGCTATGTCGATTTTAAACAAGTGATTAAGGTAATCAACTACGTATGGTCTATAACTCGAGGCACGGAAGTATGAATAGCCTAATTTCGCAGCACTAAACAACTATCTCTCGCAACCCTGATCAGTAGGTCTCCACTCTGATCCTGGAAGGGAGAAGATGCAATAGCAGAACAAGGCTAATCAACATTCACAACTCAACTCAGGTAGGTTTCCACTCCTATAGAATTATTGCTCGTTTCACCCTAGTTCAGACAATCAATGAAAGCTTTCGCAACATATCATATCAGATCGGCTTCTAAGTGGCCAGCAGAGAATCATGCAGTAAGGTTAAAGGCAAACGAAGAACATCTAGAAGATTCTAAATCCTAAATCTATCGATTCATAAGCAAAGACACACGAAATTCCATTTGAAAAATCCCTTTAAACCCAACTGGGTAACTACTCAAACATATTGTAACAAAGCATCATAGACGAAATTGAAAGTGCAGGAAATTAAAAAGAACAGGGAAGAAAAACGAAGAACAGAGAAGCAGACGGAGGCGCGATGACGGCTCCTCCTTCAGGGGCGCCGGCCTCCTAGGGTTTGTGAGGCACACGAACTCTCTCTCTCTCTCTCTCTATCTAAGCCTAAATGTTCGGTCTCTATTGGTCTCCTCTCTTTAGAATGACCTAAAGAGGGTATTTATAGCTTCTGGAGTTGTCTTGGACACTTAGGGCTTCAAAAATAACAAAAGGAATTGATCTGGGCTTTAATTAAGTCGTCTGGAAAGTGAACGACTAATGGCTGCGGTCGCGGTGCTCTTACCCGCGGGAAAATAGGTGTTGGCGGCGGTCCCGACTCATGCTCTCTTCTAGAACTGCATTTTCTGTCATTCTTGCATTGGGAGTATCTGAAGATCTAACCGTTGGATTGTCTCCAAACCAAGTGCATTAGAAATCTGGTTGGATCCTCTATGTTGTCTCAAATTTTGGGGGTGATGAGACGGTGAAAAGATCTTCATCGCTTGCCATACTTCTGACGGTCTGCATTTATCCAAAATTGCTCATTTGTTCCAAATTGCATATATTTTGCCCAAGTTTCCTGTTAAGTCTTTTGAAACTCTAAAACATTAAAAAAAAGTTAAAAAATCATTGAAAACAGAGTTAAAACACCTGCATAAGACATAATTATGATCCATAAAAGTGGTCAAAATACGGTGTTATCACAAGGCATGTACAGCCGAGGTACAATTTTTTATGGGTTTGGACCATGGACCTTGGTGTGATCCACCCCGAGGGCATCATACCAAGGCATCAAATCGCAACAAGTTCTAACACCAAAACCCATCACATTGACCCCCAAATCCTCTATTTTGACCCATGTCTCCAAACTGTCTTTTTTGTTCATGCACTTTCACAAGCCCCTCGGTATGCTCCACCCCGATGGCATCACACCGAGGGGTACTATTTTCTAGGTTTAACACTTGGTTCTTGGGACTCAAAACAACACGGCCTCAATGTAAAAGTGTCGAGGGCTTTGCACGAGTTTTTGAGCTTTTCACTCGTATTTTTGGGACTTGGTATGTCTATATCGAGGGGTCTACACTGAGGCATGTTTTCCACACTTATTCCCAGCAAAATTAGCTCATGATTGGTATAAGAGTTACCGAGGGTTGAAATCAAGGTCTGACCTCTTTTGTTCGCAAAACAGCCTCGACTTGTCTATACCTAGAGTCTACACCGAGGGGTCTCACAACACTTAGTCTCTGGCACAAACAACTGGTGGCCTCGGTGTAACTTAAGGTGTGGGGTTAACACGAGGTTTTGCCCTTTTCATTCGCAAAAGAACCTCGGCTTAGGCCATACCGAGGTGTTTACACCGAGGCCATGAGTTGTGGCTCTTTAAAACACTAGGTCGTGCCTTCTAGACTCCTTTTGGCACCTGTCCTTTAAGTCACTCAGCTAGAACACCTTCTAAAACCTGAGATCACTCCAAAAAAAACTCAAAACATTCCAAAAACATTAAACAAAAGATCTGAAAGAAATATTTACAAGGATAAGCTTGGGGTGTCTCCCAAGAGCACTTTGTTTTAAGTTTCTAAGTTTGAAGAAGAACTGATAAACCTCCCTCTTTCATTTCAGAAACCAGATAATGCTTTACCCTTTGTCAATTTACCTCAAATCAATTCCCATCCTTGCCTTCAAGCACAATGGCTTCATAGTCTCTTACTTCAAGTACTTCAAGTATGTTGAATGGGCCTGACCATCTAGACTTTAGCTTCCCAGGAAACAGCTTGAGTCTAGAATTGAACAAGAGAACAAGATCTCCAGTCTTGAACTCCCTTTTAAGAATCTCTGATCATGGAGAGTCTTTGTTCTTTCTTTGTAGATCTTAGAACTCTCATAGGCATTGAGCCTGATTTCTTCCAACTCATGAAGCTCTAGGAGTCTCTTCTCTTGAGCATTATTTATGTCAAAGTTAAGTAACTTGATAGCCAACAAAGCCTTGTACTCTATCTCAACTAAACCCTCCCTAGAAATGGAAGTTTAGGTTGGTATGGTGGTGGTGGAACATATGGTTTCTTAGGCACCACATCTGTTTCCATCTCTTTGCTCTTATCACTCTTAGCAACTTGATCTTCTTGTTCACTCCTTTGAGCTGCCTCCCCACCAACATGCTCATTGTCCTCAATGAGCACTTATCTAGGTTGTTCTTTCTCAGGTAGCTACTTTCCACTTCTAAGAGTGATGGCATTACAATACTCTTTAGGGTAAGGCTCAGGTTTTCCAGGTAAAGTTCCTTGTTGTCTTGAGGAAGAGGCTAGATTCTTCTATAGTGCATTGATCTTTTGTTGCATTGCCTCATACTTAGAACTCAAATCAGAGAAATTTCTTTCAACTCTTTGTTGACCTTGTATAAGCTGCTGTAACACTCCATACAAATCAGAACCCTTCTGATGTTGCTGAACCGGCTGTGGCTGACTCAGCTTCTGTTGTCCAAACCCTGGTGGACTTGTGTTGCTGTGGCTGGCTGTTGAAGCTGTTACCCTGAATCTGTGGCTGCTGTCCATATCCTTGTGGTTGTTGTATAAACTGCTGCTTGGGCTGATAGTTCTCTTGAAATTGGTTTTTGGGAACACAGCTCTGTTGACCTTGTTGAGGAGAGTAAACTTGGTCTTGAGAATTAGCTACATTGGTGCTTCTATAGGAAAGGTTTTGGTTGGTGTTGAAGTTATTGTACTTTTGAAACCTGTTCTGATTCCCAATATAGTTTATCTCCTCTTGAGTAAGACCTTTTTCATTGGCATTGTCAAAACTTGGAGACTGATCATCAAATTCCCCAACAGAGTGTAGTGTTTCTGAGTTGCCACCAAGACTTTATCAAATTTACTCTGGAGCTCCTTGATGTCTCTCTCCAGTTTTTTCCTCTTTACTTGAGCCCTCATTTCTGTTTGCTCTATCAAAATCCTCCCCATAAGTATCATTACTCATGGCTAAGTTTTCCACAAGTTCCATAACAACATTTATCTCTTTAGCCAAGAAATTCCCATTTGAAGCTGTATCCAACTGATTCCTTATCTTTGGGAGAGCTCCTCTATACAATGTACTCAAGAGTGAAGCCTCAGAAAAACGCTGATGGGGAGATTGTTTTGTGTAGCTTCTAACCCTCTCCTATGATTCCCCAAAGCTTTCATGGTTATGCTGGGTAAAGCTTGAGATTTGGTTCCTCAACTTGGCTGTCCTTGAGGTGGGGAAAAACTTAGATAAGAATGCAAGTTTACACTGCTCCCAAGTTTGAATTGATCCCCTTGATAAGTTCTTCTCCCATTGATGAGCTTTATCTCCCAAATTGAAAGGAAACAATCTCAACTTGAAGCTGTCTTCTGAAACTCCATTGATCTTAGTCAGATTACACACCCTGTCAAACTGATCCAAATGCTCAAATGGATCCTTCGTAGGCAGTCCATGGAACTTTGAATTTTGAACCATGTTAAGCAATAATGCCTTCACCTCAAAGTTGTTTTTTTGGACAGGAGGAGCTTGAATGCCTGCCCTGTATTGGTGTGCACTGGCGCAGTCGTTCTCTCCCACAAAGACTGGTGGAGGCTCTTGATGCCTTGGAGCTTGTGTCTGAGGCTGCAGAATGTTCAAGCAGGCCTCGGTGTCGTTCCCTCGACATTGCCTAACCCAAAGCATGTTCCCTGAAGCTTTTTGGTCCATACCTCGGACTAGCCCCTCGGTGTATCAAGACCGAGGCACACATCCTGATAAAACAAAGCTGAATTTGTCTAAGTGTGGAGCTAGACCTCGACATTGCACGTCGGACCTCATTTCCCTTGTCTCCTCGACCACCTGACCCCTCAGTGTATCTATGCCTAGGTCCCTTGTCACGAACCCAGATCAAGAATAAAGCTGATCCAACGAGTGCATGTGAAGATGAATCAAAGACTAGGGTTCATGCATGTTCTTGATGAGTTCTTCATGAGTTCTTCATTTCAATCTTTGCTCACGTGCACCCCTCGACATCAACACCTTGGCATTGGACTCTCACACACCGAGGACCTCACCCATGCACGCAAGAAGACCGGTTCAGTACCCGGTTTGTTCCAGGCTGACCCGCATCACTTAGCTTTACTCTATATAGTTTTTGGGATTAAAATCCTACTTAACTGATCTCTTATCTTATCTTATCCTTGAGAACTTTCCTCTTTTGCGAAAACATGTCTCTTTAATCAGATATCTCGTTTTTGCATTAAAGATCTTGTTCTCTTCATTTCCATTTATCATTTCAAAGCTTCTAATCATGTCTAGCATCACTTCTTGCAAAAGATTAAGTGTGCTCTTCATGATTAGTGAGTAGTTTCATTATGAAGTTTTAGATTGGTAGATTAGGGTGCTGAAATGCTAGATTAGCGAGTTTAGGTTCTAGATCTGCATCATTCATTCTCTAACAAACCGATCTCTATGCTGGATCCATGAACATCACATGTGGTCTAGATCAAACACATGTTCTCGGACCAAAAGTGTTTGTAGAAATGTCTGAACCAGTTTGTTAGAGGTTTAAGAGTCTTTCATCATGATAATGTGATAGATAAGAGTTTTTAGGTCTCAGGGCTATCAATCCCCTTGTCAAAGTAGTACTAAGAGGTGTCAATCCAGACTTGTCAACGAGACACTAGTCTATGTTGTTTGTTTATTTAAGTCAAGATAAAAAGGTGAAGGTTTTACTAAGCTAAATAACAACGATTAAGCATGTAAGTAAAGTAAATGATGAGAATCAAACAAAGCAAAGATGCAAATGATAACTAAGCGATTCAGATGATGATAATATGTAATAAAGCAAGAGACTTTAGACGAGATACTTGACTCGGGTGCTCCCAAGTTTAACTAGTGGGTTAATGAATCAAAACATCAAGCGGTTTCATTTAACTTTGAACTCAAGGCATGTTAATCTTCTCATGAAAGTATTAAGCATCTAAACTGATTCTCCTTCATACCAAAAATGTCTTTTGAGAAGCATCGAATCAATCAGCAATAAGAATCAGTTCAAAAATGTCATTTAAGAGAACAAACTATCACTCTCGCGATGAAAGACTCTTAAACCCTTAACCGAGTGGTTCAGACATTTCTACAAACACTTTTGATGCGAGATATGTCTCAGATCTGAACCTCAAGTGATGTGCTTGGATCCAGCCTAGAGATCTCGTCGGTTAAAGAATGAAACATGCAAGACTAGACACCTAAACCCACTAATCTACCTTGAAAGCACCCTAATCTACTCATCTAAAGCCGCTTAAACGACTACTCACTAATCATAACGAGCTCACTGAGTCCTTTGCAAGACGTGTAGCTGGTCATGATGAGGAGTTTAATGTTAGATGATAAAAGAAATAAAGAAAGAACAAGATTTCTCATGCAAAAACGAGATATCGGATTAGAATGATCAAGTTTCACCAAAGAGGCAAATTGGAAAAGCTAAAAACAGATAAGAGATAAGATGATTAGGTTTTTAGTCTCAAAATATATATATAGCAAAGGTAAAGTGTCGCGGGTCAGCCCGGAACAAACCGGGTACTGAACCGCATTCTTGGGTTGATGGGTGAGTGCCACGGTGTGTCGGAGAGTGAAGCCGAGGTCTTCATGTCGAGGAGTGCACGTGAGTCCAGATCCAAATGAAGATCTCGTGAAGAACACGTCAAGAACATGCATGAACCCTAGTCTTTGATCCATCTTCACTTGTGTGTTCTTGGGCAGCTTTGTTCTTGATTCTGGGTTCGTGACAATGGACCTCGGCATGAAATGCCGAGGCGCTTGGTAGTCGAGGGGTTTGGGCGAACAGGGTCCGGCATGCACGCCGAGGTCGCTACACCGAGGTGCACGTTCAACACTTAGTTGTTTCCAGCTTCATTTCTTACGTGTGCATGCCTTGATTCCAACGTGCCGACGTGTCAGCACGAAGCCTAGTTCAGAATACCCCCAAAATATGAGCCTTGACTTGGCCGATGTCGAGGTAATGATGCCGAGCCCTGAGAAAACACTTAGCGCGTATCGCAACATATTTGGGCTCGTATTGACCATGTCGCCTTCCGGAAGCAGTAACTTTCAACCCACGACTCCAAATGTACTGAGACCAGTCCCATAGTCAAGATGACTCAATAAGCTCGAACTTTGATGAAGAAAGCGTCGGAGCTTGGGAAGTAGAAGGCTTCCTGGATTTCACATCTTTGAACCGCATTGGAATCACCGGAAAATAAGCTGTTTGGACCGATGTGAACTCTGGAGACTTTATCTTTCAAACCAATCGTCCGAATTTTGCGACCCTAACTGTCTTGAAAAGGTCTTTCACAGATCTCAAACTTTGATGAAGACCGGGCAAGCTGGTTCGGTCCGGAAAGGTTCCGTCTGCCGTGATCTTTGTGCTCCGCCGTTCGGTTCTCGGATGCGCGTAATGTTGGTGCATCTTCCGGAAGCTGTATCTTTCTCCCCACGGGTCCGAATTGGATGATTCCAACTGTTCTGGGATCGTTGTTTGATTATCTCCAACTTTGCTGAAGACCCCGCCAACTGGTTCGGACCGGAAGGTTCCCCGGATTGCAGATCTTTGAGACGCGCGGACAAGGACAGATTTTGGTCGAGAAAAGCTTCCCGCGGTAAGGAAAATGACCGAGGGCTGTGTACCGCGGTAAGCTTTTTGGTCGTAAAAATTCCTTCGCCTCGGACAAAACTCAACCTGCAGTATTTACGCCTTATCTTCGACCCAGGCTGACTTTGGTCGATCGGTACGGATTTTGGTCGGTGCTGAGCGATCGGTAAGCTTTTTGGTCGAGGTTGAACGATCGGTAAGGATTTTGGCCGGTAATGAGCGATCGGTAAGGATTTTGACCGAGGTTTCTGTCCGTCCGGTACGCGATTTGGCCGAGAAATTCCTCCAAGCGGTTTTCACCATTTTTGACCCTTTTCTTCACCGTCTTCTTCTCTGCTCCTCTTCTTAAGCTCCAAATGACTCCCAAAGCACCTGATAAAGACTTCAAAACATGCAAAACTCTTTGGGACCTAATGCAAGCCCTAAATCCTATTTTCATGCCTAGAGACTCAATTTACATGGGAAAACACATGATGAGGACTCTAAAATGCACTCTAAATGATGTAAAATATAGACATATCAACTCCCCCACACTTGTCCTTTGCTTGTCCTCAAGCGAAGAGAACAAATGAGAGAAAGAGGTTGTAATGCAGATGGAGCTCATATTTCCTTTTTAGAAAGAAGTGATCACAAAGAGAACTCGGATTCATGCTCAAATATGCAATGCAAAGCCATACTCAGATATTTCACAATTAAAGCGCAGAATCTCCACAAGTCATTATCACACTCAACTCTTTCACATTCATTAAGCTAGTAACCGGTGAATCAGATGATGCAATGTTCAAATAGGCTGGCTTGGCTAGGGTAAGGTCATGAGATAAAAATGATCTCATCAATATTCAAGCGGGTGCAATGCAACAGTGGGATCTCTCAATGAACGACCAAACTTTGGCAGAATGCTAAAGGTAAAAAGCAACCGATGCATACAAGGGCAAGACTCATCACACCCCACGCTCCACTCAAAGCTTTTCTCACTTGCTCACCCTCTCAAGATCCTCACTCTCTCAATTGCTTTCTTTTCACTAGGGGACTAACTTTTGTTTTGATTTCCAAGTCTTGGTGTTTACCTATTCACACAGCTCTTTTCTTTTACAGCGATTAGCCTCTTTTCTTTCCCCTTTTTTTTTTTTTTTTTTTTTTTTTTTTGGCTTCTTTTCATTTCAGAGACTATACTTTACTTTTTAGAACAACAGAGCTTATCTTTTCCAATTCAAGACTCGATTCTTTTTCTTTCATTCCCCTAGCTATCTCCACACTCTCTTTTCCACTCAGCTCACCTTTTTCCACTCACCAATAGATCTTTTCCTCCACACTTATTTCTCGCCAATACTCTTAGTTCCTTGATGTTGGAACATAGCACTCAATGAGACATGCCCTTGTCGCTCTAAACCTAACACTTTCTGCTAAGTTCAGTCCAAGGTGGCCTTACAATTCACACACAAACATTGGCTCGAAAAGAAAGTTGGGTTCAAGGTGAGGGAACTGATCCATGATGCGGATTCAGCTGCTTGAGCTAAGGAAAGAGGGTGGTGAAAACAATGATTCTAGCTCAAGTATGTATATCGGTATCCACAAGCCAATTTAAGCAATG